GTAGTCCCAGCTGAGATGTGCTGGGAGTGTAAAACACACACTGGATTTAAGAAATAGTACAAAAAAATAATGTAAAATACTCATCCTTTAAAATTGATTATATGTTAAAATCATAATATTTTACATATAGTGGGTTGAATAAAATTTTAAAACTAATCCCACTTCTTTTTATCTTTTATAATATGGCTAGTAGAAAATTTTAAATCATATGTACAACTTCTGTTTGTAGCTCAGGTTATTATGTTTCTATTGGGTGGTGCTGAGTTGGACAGCGATGATATTGCTTCCTATGTGCTGAGCACTATTCTTTTTTACATACACCATTTGACTTAATTTTCATAATGACTTCATCAGGGATATATTGCTATTATTTTCACTTTCCATGTGAGAAAGCTGTGGCTCAGAGAGGTCAATTAACTTGTCCAAGGGCACACAGGGAGTAAGTGTAGAGCTGATTCACTGGGTTTGCTTTGAACAGCAGGTGGAGGGTGATGCTGATCACTGAGTTGGGGAAGTTGGGGGAGGAAGCAGGCATGGAAGAGTACTCATGTTCTGAGTGGTCCTGCTAAGCTTGAGATGACTGTAGACATCCAACCGGAGATACCAAGAAGGCAGGGGGTTTACAGGGAGACATTTAGGGTAGAGATACACAACTGGGGATCAGCAGTAGAAAAATGGAATTTAAAGCCATAGGGGGCAATGTGACCCTGTAGAGAGGGTATCTTAGGATGGAGCCTGGAGCACACCAACATTTAAAGGGGAGATGTGGAGAAAGAGCCCCAACAGGAGGCTGAGAGAGAGAAACAAGTGAGGCAAGAGGAAAACTAGACAGAGAAAGAAGCGATCTCAGGAAAGAGAGTGTAATCAGGCTGACCTGGGAGCCTGGGAGCCTCTGGTCAGTTGGAGCAAGACAGGAGGAGAACTCGCTGGCCCAAGGTAAGACATCTAGGGGACTGGGCTCACCCGTGAGCTGGAGCCCTGCAGGCTGGCTAGACCCGTGGTGAGTTCCAGAACTAGACATCCCTGGTTCCTGGAAAGATCAGGGAGGGGCCACACCAAGTGCCCCCAGCTAAAGTGAGAGCCAGGCCCTGGAGTGTGGGAGTGGGAGCCAGACAGCTCATTTTGTTTGGCAACCAGGAAGTCCTCCCTTATGTCTGACTGTAATCCTAGGGGCTTCAAAGTTAGCCTAACAGTTCTTGGTAGCTCAGCTGAGCAGATGCCCTCATACACATCCTTTTTATGGCTGGAGACAGAAGATGCTCCTTCCCCCTCCACCGTCTCATAAATCCATCAGCCCTTCTCTCCCGGGCTACTACTGCTTCTTTTGCTTCTCTTTGCAATAGCCCATAAATTTAGCTCAGAGTTTGGAATTTAGGACACATGGGGAGATATAGGCAGAAACTGATCTGAGCTTCCAGTGTCCTGTGTTTTGTTCTAGAAGCTTCTGACCCCCAACCTTATTTCCCACTGTCTCTTTCAGTTGATTTGAAAGTTCTCTGTGTCCAGGAATCTGTTCTCAAGAGCACTTGTTTCTGCTTTGGCAACCTCCTCGCTGGCACCTGGCTCCTGATGACAGCCCGACCTGGCTTCTGTTCTCAGTGTACCCACCCTGGACATTTCGGGCAGCCCCCGCCTGGAGTCTACGCCTAGTCTGGGCTCTCCTGCGGCTTCATCAGAGCCATCTCCCCAGAGCATCAGCCCCTGCATGTCCCCAGTCACTAATCTTTTCATCAGCAGCTTCTCTTCAACCGCATTGCCCACAGAACCAAGTGCTTTGTCGATGAAAAACTCCTTTGGGGGCAAACACAGGAAATTAAAGACTCTGAGTGCAGTAAGAAAATCCATTCTTTTTCATAGATTTCTGCAGTCTGATTGCTTCGGCTTCTGCTGAGTGGCTAGGATCTCTTGGTTGGGGCTCACACCCAAGGGGTCTGGCCAGAGGAGGTGATATCGCCAGGAGAGCAGGGCTCTGTTTGAGATTCCACCATCCACCATGCCTCTGGGGCTGTAGGGCTGGCCACCTGGTCAGCAGGATGTCCTGGGCAGGAGGGAGCCTTCAGGGCACCATCAGAGCTCATACCTAGAGCGGATCTACCCATGGCCAGCTGGGAAAGAATGTGTCCTGCCAGAGGAGAGTTTTGTGACACTGAGTGTAAAGTGTCCAGGGATGCGTGGGGACCGTGGCCCTATCTCCTAGTCCCAGTGGGTTAGCGCTGCTCTGTGACTCCATGGCTCAGTCTGTAAAATGAGGGAGTTTGGATTGATGGTGTTTAAGGTCCTTTGGGTATATAATTTATGCAACAAATATTAGTTGAGCTCTGTCCATGTGCCAGAACTTTCAGGAGCCTCAAGCAACAACTTCCAGGGCTTCAAGTCAATTGGCCTCCCCTCCCCTCCTGAGTTCGGCCACCACGAAGACCAGATTCAACCTGCCGCTCAGCTCCCAAGCTCACTATTCCAGACCTTTGGAAATGCCTGTAACACCAGGAGGCCTCAAGGACACTGGGCTCAGGTGGGTATTGGGTGTCTGCTCTGAGAACCCCCAAGATTCCACCAAGGCCCTTCACTGTGGCTGGGCTCTGCACCCAGAGGAGGAGACCGGGTCACTGAGAAGGCAGGCCCGGTGTGGAGTGATGGAAGCAGGGGATGCCCTGCAGGGTGGAGGCAGAGGGCAAGGAGACACAGCCTACATCCGGGACCCCAACTCACCGCCTCTGGGAGCAGAAAGAGGTGCAATAAATGCAGAGGGTGAGCAGAGCAGAATCTGGAGCAGGACACAGAGAGCACTTCTTCAGGTCACCCAGGCCCTGCCACAGGCCTGAGTGTGGGGACTGGGGGCTGGGGTTGCAGCTGGCCCTGGGAGAGCCTCCCAACTCAGGGTTCCAGGGAGCGGCCCAGGCCAGACACAGGGAGAGCAACTCCCACAGGGTAGGACAGGCCACCCCGGCCCCAGGGGTGCAGCTACGGTCAAAGGCGGCGGCTGGACAGCCTGTTAACATCAGGGTAGGGGTTCAGCATCAGCTGCCCATGCCTGTCAGGTCTTCTAGTCCCAGCCAGACATGGGCTCCATCATCCCATTCATTTGTCCACTGACTCATCCAGGGAACATTTCCCAGTTGTCCTGCTTTTGCCGCTACCACCCTCACCTCCACTGCCTCTTGCCCTAGGGGCTCCTTCCCCACTCACAAGCTGTCGATGCTATTCCCTGTGGACCCTCCCTTGTGTCAGACAATACTTTCTGGTCATGTGTCTGACCTTTCACATTTTCTCTGGACACCCCAGGTGGAGTAACTGATTTCTCACCTTGGAGATGGTCATTTCAGGTGCTGGATCCATAAGTCCTCTTCCTGCCAGCCCATAATATTGCCAGAAGTCTCCTGGTTACAGGGAACTCATAGTCCTCAGATTTTACATTTGTACCATACTGAACAGTTACTTGATTAATGTAAAGGAAAAAGAGGAACTGATAGGCAGCTACTCTGGGTCAGGCCTTTTCCTGATTCATTCACAATTTCCTGATGTTTGTGTAATCCTGTCAACAGCAAACATAGCTAATATTTACTGTTGGCTACTTCGATGGTCTAAGCTTTATGCGAGGTGATTTGCAGATGAAGAAGCATCTTCAGAAGGATAAGTGCTTTGTAACTTGCTTAGTGTCACATAATCAAAGGTTGGTAGCACTGATATTCGAATAGGTCTGGTGTTCTTTGCCACTTTCCACCTTGACCTCCCAGGACAGACATGGGTCACGTGCTGTGGGGGACCCAGACGAGGGAAAAACATGTTTGATTTCAAGACAATGCTGCAGCTGGGACATCCTTCTGGGGGACTTCCTATCATGACCTCTGCCCTCTTGAACTGTAGGCTCCTCCTGACTAAATGCTAAGGGCTTTCCCCCTTCATGGCTTTCACTGAAGTCAGGCGCGTTCTTCTGTAAGCATAGGGGTCACTTTCCCCTCTTTGTCTCCCTCCCTCCCTCTGTCTTCCACCAAACCTGGAGAGCAGCAGAGGTAGGGGAGATAAAAGCTGTTCATAAATCCTTATAATTTCATTACTGGCCACTTTGACGCTCACCAAAAAACTTACCGTCTTGGTAGGAATGAGTAGAACTAGGCTATTTTATAGAAGAGAAATCAGAGGCTCAGAAAAACAAAATGTCTGGAAAGAAAGGGAGCAGTAGGTACCCAGAGGGCTCTCGGTGTGTGGGCTCACAGCACAGGCAGCTGGGCCCTGCAGACAGGGAGCCCAGCTATGGCGACAGCCTTGGTGGAGTTCCCCAGGGCAGGGCCTCCACCCTAGCAGGGAAGGTGGAATTTCCTCCCTTGCAGCTTCTGGCCAGCTCATCTGTGAGGACTGGAGCAGCCTCCTGAGTGGCGGCCAGGCAACCCCAGGAGGGAGGGAGGAAGGGAGAGAGGAGAATCCATCTTGTCACTTCAGAGCATGGTGACGTCGACAGGGCTATTCTGTCGCCTCTTTGCCTCTCCTTGCCTTGCGTCATGTAAGAACTGGGGTAGAGATGGCTGGGCAGTTGCTCTGGGTTGTCTGCTCTTTCGCTTCTCCCAGTGGGTCCAAGTGGTGTGAGAGGGCCTGGAATTGATGGGACTGGAAGATGGATTCTTTTGTCATTCTCTACTCCTTCCCTTGGCCATCTCATCCATCTGCACAGCTTCATTACCATCCACACTACCGTTCTCATCTCTGGCTGCACGTTAGTACCACCAGAGGGGATTTTTAAAGATGCTGATGCCAAGCCCTGTCCCAGACTGAACAAATCAGAATCTCTGGGGTTGGGCCTAGGTATCTGAATTTGTTAAATGCCCTTGTGCAGTAAGGGCTGAGAACCACAAATTCATTCTCTGATCATACTTTCTTCCAACTCCAATCTTTCTTCTAAGTTTCCCACCTGCTCCCTGGACATCTCTTTTTGTTTCCTTCCAGGAAACAACTTGCCCAAGTTACATTCACAATATGGACAAATCCCACCTCGTGCCACCTTGAAGCCTCTTTCTCCCCCAGGATCTCTGTCTTAGTGAGCTTGACCCCCACCATCCAGTGGTGTAAGCCAGTGACCGGATAGCAGCCCTGTCTCTTGTGTCCATATTCTTCACGTCCAACCTGTCGTTCTATGAAGATATGATTCAGCAGCTGTAACAGAGAGACCCAAATAGCAGTGCCCAAACAAAATAAAGCTTACATAAAAGGGTGGGTGGAAAATTCAGGGCTGGCATGGCTACTCCATAATCACAAGAGGCCCCGTCTCCCTCTCAATCGTGTCTTTGCTCTCCAGCATAAGCAGATTTCTTCTCTTTGTCCAAGATGGTTTCTTTAGTTCCCATTCATGTCCCAGTTCCAGCCATTAGGAAGGGGCAAGGGAGAAGGGGAGGTCAAGGCCCTTTAGGGCACAAGTTGGATGTCATTCACATCACTTCTGCTCACATCCCATTGACCTGAATCTAGACACAGGCCCACACCTGGCTGCAAGGAAAACTGGGAAATGTATCTTATTGATTTCATTTGCTCAGATGGTCTCTGGCTCCTCCACTTCCTCTTCCACCATCCCCTTAGTCCAACCCATAATCGCCTACCTCATCTACTGCAAGAGCCTTCTAGTGGGTCTCCCCACATCCTCCAGCCTGGTTTTAAATGCAAATGAGTGATAAGGTTTAAAAGCAAACAAGAGCAGATCATCTGTTCAGCAACTTCCCACTGCTCTCAGGATAAGTCCCAGAGGCCCTCATGATCTCACCTGGTCCTCTGGCCTCAGATCAAGCCTCTCTCCCCTGCTGTCTGTCTTCCAGCCATACTGGTCTCAGTCCAGTGGGTTGAGAGCAGCTGGCTCCGTCTCTCTGTTCATGGTCCTGGTTCTTGTTGCTTTCTCTGCTGCAGTATTTTCTCCCCACCCTGACCCCCTACCTCCCCCCACTCCCAGCCCCGTCAGACCTTGTCCTTTAGAACCAAGATAAGTGGACTGTTTCTCTGGAAAGCCTCTTGGACTGCGTGGATAAGATCAAGCCACCTGTTACTTGGGCTTACTGTACCATTTTCTTTTATTTCAATGACACAGGTTGGATAATGTTACTTCTGTGATCATTGCTTAACTTTGGTGCCCCTCATCTGACCCAGAGCTCCAGGAGGGCAGGGACTGTTGTGACCCCTGTGCCTGGCATGCTGCCTGGCCCACAATGGTCTTCACTAAATGTTGGCTGCCTGGGTGAATTGTGAGGCATGGCAAAGTGTGAAGAATGACTCCCAGGTTTCTGGCTCACACTGAATATCAAACGTGCAGTCAGGGTCCAGGGAGGTGGGTGCAGATTGGAGTAGGATCCCGTGTGCAGTGTTGGAAATGGTGGGCCACAGATGTCAACTAGGCTGTTGGATAGTGACCCTGGACTTCCAGGAAGATGTATAACTTGAATGAACTGACATTGGATTCTCCTCTTGGTTCAAGGTTATCATGGGTCATGGCTGCCACAAAGGCAGTCATTTGGCGGGGGCACAGGGTGGTAAGAATAGGGGTCCTGGTCTTGTGCACTTTAGATGAGAGGAATTGAGAAAGAGGTACCAGAAGAACTCCTTAATGCAATTTTCTCTACTGAATTCTATTCTCAAAAGAGCCTGTTCGAGGCCTTAGATTGACAGGGAAGCTGACAAAAAGGGTCTGGGTAGCAAGCACAGTGAGCATGGAGGGGCTGGAATGGTGAGGACAGCGCACACTTCTCACCACGCTCTACACCCATGAGCAGCCTTGTTCAGCAAACACATACAGGATATGGGATCATCCGTGAGGTGGCAGGATCCCCATGAGTCCTGGTGATCAACCATGATGGTGGCAGTGGCAGAATAGCATACCTGCTCCTATAGAGCTTCACTCATATCAGATATCATCCTAGGTGCTAGGCATAGAAACACATTTAATCCTTAAAACAGCTCCATGTGCCATTATTCACATTTTACAGTGGGGGAAACTGTGTTCAGTCGCTCAGTTGTGTCTGACTCTTGGCGACCCCACGGACTGTAGCCCTCCAGGCTCCTCAGTCCATCAGATTTCCCAGGCAAGAGAAGTGGGTTGCCATTTTCTTCTCCAGGGGATCTTCTTGACCCAAGGATCGAACCCACAGTCTTCTGCATTGGCAGGCAGATTCTTTACCACTGAGCCACCTGGGAAGCCCAGGGGAAACAAGGCAATAAAAAAGTCAAAACAAGATCACAGCTACTAGGTGGCTAAAAGAAGAACAACTATAGCCCCTTTGTTTAAAAATGCTTAGAGATGTGAGATTTTCTTATACAGTGAGGCTAGATAGTATCACTCCCCTTAAGTAGATGGGGAAGAAGATCTGGGGTCTGTAACACTTTCTAACTGTACTAATTCTCTCTGCCTTTCTCTTGCCCTTTCCTTTTGCACCCATTATGACTACTCAAGTTTTCTCTGGAACAGGAAAAAACTAGTTTTAAGAAGATAGCTGGTGGGCTGTCTGCATTTCAGTGAAAGGTGAAGGGTGATCATGGCAAAGTTAACTTTTAGCAACTTGCTGGGATAATAACCCTTCACAGAGCTTGACAGTTTAAAAGGTCCTTTATAGAACTCAATCCTGTGAGATAAATAGTATCATCTATGAGGCACATATGACTCCAAGAAGTTAAGTGACTTGCCAGGACCGTGGGGCTGGTAAGTTGTGGATCCATTAGAAACGCAAACTCTGTTCCCCAGACTTTCTGTCCGGAGCAGACTGTTCAGTCTGCATCACTTTCTCCAGATGTCCAGCTTCATTCCCACTTGTGTCTTTCATTTTCCTGGTGGTACATTTTTCTTTTACCTTTCCCTACCAGGTTTTCTTAAAACCTGCTTTTGCTAATGTCAACAGCTCCATCGATTAATGACTAATTCATACTACAGTGTTAATGACTGATAATCGCACTCAGCTATTCCCTCTCCAGAAAGTTTTATATTTTAAGACAATAATGATAACAAATGCCCCTCTTATGGGTCTTGCCTCTTGGAGTCTTTACAAACAGGTCCTATTGATTCATCTTACTTTTTATCTCAGATCCACCCCTATCCTTTCACATCTATGTCCACTGTCATAGTCCAATTCAGTCCTTCATCATGTGTCCTCAGGACTACCTCAATAGGTTCTTAACTGTTTCACTGCCTCTCATGCATCCTCTATCCTGCTGTCCAAATGATTCTGTTAGCATGCCTTGCTTTAAGCCCTTCCCTGGCTCTATATCCTCCATAAATAAGATCAATCTCTTGGTGTAATTCTTCCTACACATTGGGCTGGGACACGTCTCTGGGCAGTCAGCTGTTAGTCTTTGTGCCACTCAATTTCAGCAAAAACTGCCAAGCTCTCCAAGAGAGTCTTTTCAAGCTCCTTTCATGGGGCTGGAATGAGGGCGAGTGCCCTTTTCTACGTGCCTTCCTTTGGGAGCCCCCACCACAAACACATCCTCAGTAGTTTTAACATGTCTTCCTCATCTTCTGTCACATAGCTTGGAGGTGGTGGTGGGCTGATGTTGGTTAAATAGGTTTGAGGCTCTTCCCTTTGCAGTTACTGCATAGACAATGTTTCTGAATAGTTCTCAAGCGGGTAGAGAGTGGGTAGTGGAGGGTTTTTAATGTCACAATAACTGTGCAATGCCATTAGCATTTAGAACTGGGGACTGGACTAATGCTTAATGGTGTGCATTGCAAGGCAAAGTCTGCAATAAAGAAGTAGCCTAAACAGGATGCCCACCATGTGAGGTTATGTGGCAGAGGTATGGGTTAGAAGCAGTACTGTGATCCAGATTAGAATTCAAGGCCTCTCCTCATCAGACCAGAGCTCTTTGCACTGCATGTTTCCTCTACCCTCCAGAAGAAAATGAGTCTCAGTGGAGAGATTTTTGTGCAGCACTGAACAGGGAAGATGGCCCAGAGGACAGAGGGTTTTTCCTTGTGACCCTCATATCTTGTGGTCATCTGAGCCAAGTGAGGCTGGACCTTAGTAGAGGAACTGCCGCAGCCCCCGGAATATGGGTGACGGTTTCTCGCTTCTTTGTCATGCTGACTGCAGCTCCAACAGGTTGGTGGGTCCATTTGTCCTTTCACTGCCTTACCTTCCTGGGAGTGAGCAGCGTGCGTGTCAGACATTTTAAAGTGCCTGAGGTGGGGAGCCTCCAGTTCTGCTGGGCACCATATTGATGGGAAGAAGGCAGCTGTCCTTCCACCTTGGAGAAGCTAAAAGCAGAAGCAGGGAATACACAAAGACTCCAACTTACTTGTTATTTGGATTACAGAGTTCCTCCTCCAAAAGCACTGGGCTCATTAAGGAAAAACTGACCTATTCCAAGACAATAAAACCAGGCCAATCAAAGCCAAGATGGTGAGTGGCAGAAGGGCAGAAAGGAGTGCAGTTGAGGAAAGAGCAGAGAGGTTGGGAGATCTGCATGAGGCACGTGTCTATCACCAGACTTACAAATGTTCATTGATATCTCCAACTTCATTTGTCAACACCACCCAGGCAAGCATCACCACAGCTATCTCCACCTCCAATACCACCAGGGCCACCTCTGCCGATGCTCTTCCGGCTCTCATGCCGCAGTTTGCATCTCCATCCCCAGCAGTGCCTTGATGGGGTCTGGTCCACCAACCTCCTTCCAGGTTCTCCTTCTCATGTTGGAAAGAGCTCAGGTTGGAGCAGGACTACATCTGAACTGAAGCCCTTCCCACAGCAGGGAGGGGAGAGTCCACTTGCTCTGGGCTTTGAGAGGGAGATCAGCCCGGGTCTTTGTAGCTGTTTCTAGAAGCCAGCATGCTTTAGAGGTGTGGGGCTATTTTATGATTTAAGAAATCCTCCGGGCCTTTGGATTATTTGAGGTGAATTCTATTTTCAGGGATCTGAGGACTCATGAAACATTGTTTGGAGGAAAGTGTAGCTGGGATCAGTGACACTAGTGGTGAAGAACCTGCCTGCCAGTGCAGAAGACATAAGAGACATAGATTCAATCCCTGGGTTGGGAAGATTCCCTGGAGGAGGGCATGGCAACCCACTCCAGTATTCTTGCCTGGAGAATTCCCATGGACAGAGGAGCCTGGAGAACCACAGTCCATAGGGTTGCAAAGAATCGGACAAAACTGAAGCTATTTAGCATGCATGCACGTAGCTGGGATCAGGGCTCAATCTAGAGGTTGGTCTGTAGCTGGGATAGGGGCTTCCTATGGGACTGGGACTGGGGCCTAATTTGAGAGAAGTTTAGGGTTCAGTGTCTAGCCCAGGTCAAAGGACTGGCTGGGATTGAGTCAATATTCAGGGTAGAAGTAGTATCAGGGGCCCATTAATTGAACCTCTGTTTAATATGCAGAATTTCTCATCAAGTACCATATGGTCTACCCTAGGTCTACCATTCTACTCTAGGTCAATCCATTTTCTTGAGGGATTCCTCCATTCTCTGCCCCCTGGCCACCTTCCCCCTTTCAGCCCTGGGTCTCCTGGGACTCATAACCTAACCACACTCCTGCTCTAGGGTGTGGACTTCAGAACAGGATGGGGCACCTGTCTGAACCCCAAGCACTGTGCAGCCTGAGCCTGCCTTTGGAGGGGAGGGCTGAGCCAGACCTGGGGCCCAGCCGGCCCTGGCAGCTGGATGGCTAGCTGTAATGGGATTAGGGCGGGCCAAGCCCAGGCCCTGCATGCGGTTCCAATCCCCTCCCTCCCTTTCTCCTCCTGCGTCCTCATTAGGATGCAATCTTAAGCTCCACCTACCTGGCCAGCCTCTTTGTCTCAGCCGTGCCAGCGCCTAGCAACCCTCACAGGGGAGCCCTTTCCCACCGCTGTCATGGCCCCTCTCCCTGCCCCTCAGCTCTGAACACCAGCGCAACTTACATTTGTTTTTATCATTGCAAAGAAGCCAACAACGCAGGGCCACCTGGTCTCACCGGGTTCTCTCAAAGACCCGGCTCTGAGAGCCTCTTCTGAAAATCTGGGCGTCCTCTCCAAGATTCCTAGGTTCTATCAACAAATCTCGGATTACATTCTGAGCTTCCAGAGTTCCATTCTGGAATTCTCCAAGGCCTGGAGTCCATTCTAGGAATCCATGAATTCTAGACTTCCAGGATTTTATGACATAGGTTTCAGACCATTTCATCACAGGGTAGAGTTTGGTTATTGTGGGACAGAGTCACCTTGTGGTTCCAGAAGTGAAGTCTGTGGTCATGAGTCAGGGTGACAGAGGTTAGAAGATGATGGAAGTTGCATCTTTATTCTCTTTGAGAATTTCTGAAGTACACAGAGAGACATGAAACCTCTGCCAGAGAAGAGAGAAGGTGAGATTCACTCACTGATTCAACAGCTGCTGGAATAAAGCAATGAGCAAAGAAAAGCCCTGCCCTCAAGCAGCTTCCATCCTCTTGGGGGAGACAAATATTCAACAAATAGACAAATAACATGCAACATATTTTTTGTTGCATAGCAGATGGTGATAAGTGCTAGAAAGAAAAAGAAGAACAAAGGAATTATTAACACTTTAGTGTATTTATTCTGTGTTAGACTCTGTTCTAATGTTCTTCTTATTTATTTTTGGCCACATCATGTGGCATGTGAGATCTTAGTTTCTTGACCACTAGTCTAATCCAGGTCCCCTGCAGTGGAAGCATGGAGTCTTAACCACTGGACCTCCAGGGAAGTCTAATGATTTACATATATTAACTTATTTACAATCATAATAATGTGATGCTACTGTTTAGTCCCACTTGATAGATGAGGGAACTGAGGTGCAGAAGGTTAATAATTTGTCCAAGTGGCAGAGCCAGGATGGGAACTCAGCGGTCTGGCTCCAAAATCTGGGCTTACCCACTGTGTTATAACTCGGGGTCAGGAGCTGGACAGTGATGAATGCAGTGACATTTGACCAGAGCCTTACAGAAGGAGGGGCATCCCTTGCGGCTCAGCTGATAAAGAATCCACCTGCAATGCAGGAGTCCTGGGTTTGAGCTCTGGGTTGGGAAGCTCCCTGGAGAAGGGAAAGACTACCCACTCCAGTATTCTGGCCTGGAGAATTCCAAGGACTGTATAGTCCATGGGGTCACAAAGAGTCAGACACGACTGAGCAACTTTCACTTACAGAGGAGAGGCAGTGATGCGTGAGGACCTCTGGGGAAGGATGCTCCCTTGTGGAGTAAGGCAGGTCCTGTCTCCCACGATGGACAACGTGTTCTCTGTGCTCTGGATCTGGGGGAAAAAAAGGCTCCCATTAGGGATCTGGTGGGAGGGGTAGGCTTGGTGAGATACTTATCTCTGTGGTCATGAATGACCTGACTGCCCAATCCCAGTCAGATTCCCCTGCATCCTCTTCTCTTGGTTATGCAGACGGGTCCCCTCCTTTCCAGAGAAGTGTCCCCAGAACACAAAGGAGAGAGCTAACAGAGACAGTTCCATGTGACAGGACTAATCAGCTTGCTAATTATGAGTAATTAGAAAGACCTCCCTGCCTTGTCAGGCTCTTGGTGGCCCAGTGTGAAACAGAGTGATGACTTAATCCCCATGGGAAGGAAGAGGGAGTGGCAGGCAGAGTCACGGGGGAAGGTGACCAAGCATCCTCAAGCATCTCCACACACATGGCCTCCTGGTGCTGCTCTCAGTCTATCCCACCTGCAGACACAGACAACTCAGCATGGAAAACGGAGCCCGAGGGACATGGGGATCAACTTGAGCGAGCTTGAGTCCTGATTTGTGATGGTGCCAGCAACATCTTTGGAAAAATTACTTTGCCTCCCTGAGACTTGGTCTCTTCATCTGTAAACCTGGGGTATTCATCATTCCTAATCACACAGCTTTATGACAATTCAAGGAGCTGGTAAAATAACCAAACATAATGCCTGGCACACAGTAACTGCTCAATTAATGGCAGGACTTATTGTTGTTCTGACTTTGCCATCGGTTGCCTTGGATGACTTGAAAAAGTACTTTCTTTTCTCTAGTCTTGGCTTCCCCACATGTACATTGGAGGTAGGAGTTGGTGACGCACTTATTCAATTGAAAAATATTTCCTGAGCACTGATTTCATGCCAAACACTTGAATGGAACAAGACTGACACAGGCTGTTCCCTCAGAGATCTTTGGTCAGTTGGTTGTTCCCACCCCATCTCTCACATTCAGTCTCTCGATGACAGGGACCTCAGTAGACAGGACTGTATGGTGCCCTGGGATACAAGCCCACACAAGCCCCTCCTCTCAGATGTGGACAGGACATAGAAATAGAATGGATTTCACTTTCCTGGCTAGGCTAGTTACATGGCAAAGGGGAAAGGATTTTGCAGAGGTTGTTGATGGTAAAGAATCTGCCTGCAATGCAGGAGACTTGGGTCAGATCCCTGGTTCAGGAAGATCCCTTGGAGAAGGAAATGGCTACCCACTGCAGTATTCTTGCCTGGAGAATTCCCTGGACAGAGGAGCCTGGCAGGCTATAGTCCATGGGGTGGCAGAGAGTCAGACACGATGGAGTGACTAAGCACTCACACATGATGCTTTGACTTTAAATTTGTCAAAAGGGAGATTAACCCAAGACAATTTGAGATAATCAGAAGAGCCCTTTAAGAGGGAGTCTACACTTCAAAGACAGAGGCATCAGTCTCTCTCCTGTTGGCCTTCAAGAAGCAAACTGTCATGTTGTAGAGAGGAACAGTTGGGGTCCCGGAAACTGACTGCTCAGCCCCTCAACCATGTGGAATAGATTCTGTCGACAAGCTTGGAAGAAGACCCTGAGCCTCAGATGAGACCCCAGACCTGACTGACACTTTGATTGCAGTCTTATGGATGACACCCTGAGCAGGGGACCCCACTTGTACTCCTGCCCTAGGGGAACCATGACATAATCAATGTGCATTATTTTAAACTGCCAAGTTGGCGGGAACTTGTTACCCTGCAGTAGAAGCCTGATCTACATACCCCGCTCCTGAGTACCTGCAAGGTCTTGGGTCAAGGTCACCCTGCCAACTCTATCTTCCCAGCCCCCACTCAGGGCCCAGAGCCCCCAGCACCCCCAGTGAATTCCCAGCAGACAATGCTCCCATTAGCCGTGGCAAAGAACTGTTTCATCAGCTGCCAACTTGCTCCCAAAGTTGGTTGTCAAAGAACGTTCTATTTGCCCTACTTTTAATATAATTATCAGCATCGTTTGCACCACACCGAGTCATGGCTCAGCCCGTCACAGGCCCCCTATTATCCCGAGTTGCTTTTCTGGGAACGGCTGGATCCATGCCTCACGCTTGCTGTCTCCTCCCACATGAATTATCTGTAATTTCCACACCTCCGTGCTTGCTTGCTGGGGTCCCGCGTGAAAGCCAGGACTTGTGCTGGGCCAGGTGTGCTGTTATTTTCCAGGCAGCCAAGTCAGGCTCTGAGGAAACTGGAACAACAGCAAGCAGGACCAGACTTTTTCTGTGGGACCTGCAATGGGGTGGGGAGGGTCAGCAAGGGGGGTGGGTGTCCAACCCAGCAGGAGCTGGAGCCAGACTGAGGGCAGTGAGCAAGCAGCTAGCAGAGGGCAAGGCGTGAGCAACGTGGCTCTTGAACACCAGCAGTGAGGCCCGTTTGTAGAGTGCCCAGGAGATGGCCTTTCTCGCAGTGGAAGACCTCACACCAACTCCAGAGTGTGCCAGTGAAGATGGGGAGGATGGAGGTGCAGAGAAGAAAAGAAAGTCCGGTGAATAGAGAATTGGAGATGGAATAGAAATACACATTCTCCTTCCACCAGAGTTCCTGCAGGGTATTCGACTCTCATGGGTAAACAGCTGAGTCCCTGGGGAGGGGACTACGGAAGGTGAATGGGAAACTCTGCTTTACGAGGAGAGCTGCCCGACAGTGATGAAGCTCTGCCTCTGCAGAGTGGCCCACTGCCTGGCTCAATTCTGCAAGAGAGAAAAGGCCTCTCTTGGTAGAGATGGTGTACTTTCGCCCAGCAGATCTGTGGATAGTGCCCATGTGTGTGCATGAGAGCGTGTTTGGACACTCGGTGAATGCACCTCTGGGCATACATCATGGGCAGAGAAGCACATGTGCGCCTATGCTGCGAATACTCCCATGCAGCAATGCAGGCTAAGTCGCTTCAGTCATGTCTATCTCTTTGCAACCCCTACAGACTGTAACCTGCTAGGCTCCTCTGTCCATGGGAATCTCCAAGCAAGAATACTGGAGTGGGTTGCTATGTCCTTCTCCAGGGCATCCTCCCCACTCAAAGATCGAAACCATGTCTCATGTCTCTTGCATTGGCAGGCGGGTTCTTTACCAGTAGCACCACCTGGGAACCACCCTCTCCATGCAGCAATAAGTATATGTATTTGGGTGTGTGGGAGGCTTCCCTTGGAGCTCAGCTGGTAAAGAATCCTTCTCCAGGCCAGAGGCTGCAGTTGGGTACTTATGTACATGGGGGACGGAGATAGGACATTTGGCTCTTCACATGTATCTCTCACTTTTGCCTCTTTTAAAAACACTTTTTATTTTGTATTGGAATACAGCTGATTAACAATATTGTGATGGTTTCATGTGAACAGTGAAGGGACTCAGCCATACATATACACGGATCCTGCTGCTGCTGCTAAGTTGCATCAGTCGTGTCTGACTCTGTGCGACCCCATAGACGGCAGCCCACCAAGCTCCCCCATCCCTGGGATTCTCCAGGCAAGAACACTGGAGTGGGTTGCCATTTCCTTCTCTAACGCATGAAAGTGAAAGGTGAAAGTGAAGTCGCTCAGTCGTGTCCGACTCTTAGCAACTCCATGGACTGCAGCCTACCAGGCTCCTCCGTCCATGGGATTTTCCAGTCAAGAGTGAAGTAAGCCAGAAAGATAAACATCAATACAGTATACTAATGCATATATATGGAATTTAGAAAGATGGTAACGATAACCCTATATACAAGACAGAAAAAGAGACACAGATGTATAGAACAGACTTTTGGACTCTATGGGAGAAGGTGAGGGTGGGATGATCTGAGAGAATAGCATCGAAACATGTATATTATCAAGTATGAAACAGATCTCCAGTCCAGGTTGGATGCATGAGACAAGTGCTCAGGGCTGGTGCACTGGGATGACCCAGAGGGATGGGATGGGGAGGGAGGTGGGAGGGGGGATCGGGATGGGGAACACATGTAAATCCATGGCTGATTCATGTCAATGTATGGCAAAAACCACTACAATATTGTAAAGTAATTAGCCTCCAACTAATAAAAATAAATGAGAAAAAAAAAGAGAGAGTACTGGAGTGGCGTGCCATTGCCTTCTTTCATACATGGATCCATTCTCCCCCAAACTCCCCTCCCATCCAGGCTGCCACATAACATTGAGCAGAGTTAATGTGCTACACAGTTGGTCCTGGGTGGCTATCCATTTTAAATATAGCAGTGTATCATGTCCATCCCAAACTCCCTAATTATCCCATGCCCCATCCTTCCCTCCCAGCAACCGTAAGTTCATCCTCTGAGAGTCTCTTTCTGTTTTGTAAGTTCACTTGATCATTTCCTTTTAGATTCTACATATAAGAGAAGTCATACAATATTTCTCCTTCTCTGTGTGACTTACTTTACTCAGCATGACAGTCTCTAGGTCCATCTATGTTGCTACAGGTGGCATTATTTCATTTTTTTAATGGCCAAGTAATATTCCATTTTCCTTTTACCTCTTTTGATGACTACTCACAGTTACCTACACTTTCCACCTCCCAGGAAGCACCTCTTCCTTTCTAAGAGTTATGGTTCAGGGGACAGAACTCAGGACTTGAAATCCAGAGACCTGGTATGTGGCCCCATCTCTGATACTAATTAGCTTTTATGACTTTGAGCCAATCATTCCTGTTGAGCCTCATTTGCTTTCTCTGTGAAATGGGGTGCTTAACCAGTCAAGTCTGCACTTAGAATTTAGGATTCCCAAATCAGTGACCCCTGGTCTCTTTCTTCTCCTCTGACAGTCCTCCCCTTGCTCACCCTCATCCATCACCATGCCCCGTGGGCATGGAACAGAGAGGACGCAGAACTCCTGAGCTCTGAGGAGCTCCCAGGAGGCTCTGAGAACATGCCTTCGTCCTGTCTGTGCTCCAGGTTTCTGGTGAGGCAGCTTCAAGTATTCTAGAGTTCCTGGAGAACAGTGTGAATGCCATGGGTCTAAGTAGCCTGGTGTTTATTGCCTTGGTTTCTTAGAAAATTTCAAGGGTCCTTGGGGTAGCTGAAAAGGCTTTGGAGGGTACTGGTTTATCCACTGAGGATGCTGCCCCCTGGGTGAGAGGGCAGCAAGCCTGCTTCTGGAATGGTGTTCTCCCCGGCGAGCCCAGGTCTGTACCTGGATGTCCCTACAGACTGCCTATCTGCTGGAGAGGGGAGCTTTAGAGGCACTGGACCTGCCCTGCGCACCATCATGGGACTGACCTTCCAGAGCTTCCCTGCTCACCCTGCTGTGTCTCTGGGCCTTCCAGGGGCCACTCCCTGATGCACTTGGGTTGACTCAGAGCCTCCCTGGCTGTCTGACTCCAGCATAGATGCAGGGGGTGACCAGGGGCCCTTCAGTATCAAAATTTCCCCGGAACTGTGCACTGGCTTGTGTGAGAAGTGACCCAAGGTCAGCATTTTGCTCCTTCATAGAAAGAAACCCAGACTCCATAGCCTGCTACGCAAGGCCCAGCACATTCCCCAGATAGGAATTAGATGGGCAAATGCACAGAAGGCAGTTACTCTCCCATCCTTTTCATGGCCCGGAGCATGTAGAAAACAAAAACATATGTATATGAATAGTTCCCAGAGGAAGTAAAAGAGGCTGCTGATGGTTGCTGAGTGCACTGAGGAACGGTCCCTCGACACACCTCTCAGGGTTCCAGACATGTGAGCATGCCACCTTGTGACGTGCACAAGGAAGGCGTTTAACAGAGGGCTTATGACAGTGGTTCTGAGCCTTGGCTGCACATTACAATCCACTGGGGGGCTTTAAAAAAAAACCCGTTTGCCCAGGCCTTATCACAGACTGTCTACTGATCTTGGTGGTGAGACCTAGGCATGGGGACATTTTTAAAGCTCCCCAAGGATTCTGTAGCACCAGAGGGTTGAGAAGCACTGGCTCCAGATAAGGTGAGCCCTCAGCAAATGTCAGCTGTTTATTGTACAATAAAAACACCTCGGTGTCCTCGAATGTGCTGTTCTTCCTGCCTGCGCAGCTGGACTGGTGTGGCTGGCATGGGGTGGGGTGGGTGGGGGCTGAGAGTCACGGAGGGAACCGGTGCTCAGGAGAGACGGATGCTGGGTAGGGCAGCCTGGCATCCATCTCCCTCTGCCACATCTCAGAAAATTGAATTAAAATCCATCTTTTTCGGCTGCTGCCCGCCTGGCTGGCTGGCTTGTGGAAGGGAGCTGAGGCAATGAGCACCTCAGGGGAGGGAAAAACTATTGAGGAGACCCCAGCCTCCGACCCCAGGGGAGAGAAGGAGACTCCAGGGGTCCTCTGGGAGGAGTGCGTGGTCCCATGGGTGGTCGCTCGGCCTCCAGTCTCCCTGAATGAAGCCAGCCAGGCCGGGTGAGGAGGAAAAAGAAGGAAGTCTGGGCCTGTCCTTGGGGAGGCCCAGTCTGGGAGACCAGAATTGGCATAGCTCCTGCTGAAGGAGAACCAGGCTTGTCTGGAGAGACCAGAGCTGTATGCCTGCATGTGTGGAGAACAATCCGGGGCATGAGAGGCCAGCCTGCTCCTGAATGATCGGGGCTGTTAGCAAGGTCAAACAACACCAAACTGGGCACATGGACACAAACTTTAGTCCCCAGGCTAAGTGCGTCCTTGGGCTAGTCCTGTGGCCCCTCCAGGCTTGGGTGCTTCATTCACAGAGAAGGGGACTAGTCAGCCTTCCTGGATCCCAGGTCTGATGATGCTCATTCCTGTGGCTCATCTAAGCTGATGTTATTAGGCACAGCAGGGATTAGAGGCCATCTATAAGGACTGCAACACCTTGGAGAGAGTAGAGAGGTGCCCTGTCCAGAACCAACTATAAGAAGTGGTCCTTATGGTGGACCCTGTGTGCCTGGCTTAGTGGGCAGCAGGCAGAGCAGGAGCTGGATTTCTACCCCTACCTGCTCCATGCTGGGCATGGATGGCACAGTGGGACCCAGAGCCCTGGCTCACCCCTAGCTGTAGTCAGCTAGGAGCCTGCCCTCTGGCTAGGAGCCTGACTGCAAAGGGGAAAGAGGTGAAGGGAAGGGATGTGAGCGGAGGACTGCAGGTTAATTCCTGTCCACTGGCTGCCCAGGCAGAGGGGGGAAGGGATGCTCAACCTGCTCACTGCCCACACCAAGCAAGACACACATCTGGAACACAAGACAGAGAGCAGGTGTTCCAGAGCCCAGAGGGGGACCTGGAGTATGGAAAAGAGGGTAAACATTGAAACAAAGGCTGACTCTGAGCCAAGGGTCCTCATCTAGTGGCCTGACCATGGACATTTCCAAGGACAGCTGGCTTGCCGCAGGTGACCTTCCTCACACTTCGTGACTCTAATGTCCTGAGTTCCATGCTTCCCTCCTGACTCTGAGACTGCTGTAGCCCCTCCTTTCTCCTCACGTTTCACAGTTTATAGAGCACTTCCACACACAGCATCTCATTTGATCTTCAAACAACTGGGTTGAAGACCGATGAAAGGAAGCTGCCAGGGGTCAGGCAACAATCTAGAAAGGGGTCTGCTCAGGTCTGAAGAGAAGTCCTGCTGGTCTTGTCTGTCTGACTTGACCAAGGCACCGAGCCCTCTTCTCTCCAGAGGGGTCTCACTCTTTATTGATACAGATAAGAACTAACATCCTCCTCCTCCAGGAAGCTTTCCTGGACTGAAAGAAATGTGATCCATGCAGACCAACAATGTGGCGTACCAGAGGGGGCCAGGGTTCACTGTGTTGTAGACAGAAACCATCAACTCACTGAGCAGACTTTCTCGACAATCAGATACTTCCTTTAAGTTTCCCTTATGGAGTCCTGCTCCATCCTCCAGTTCTCTCCTCCTCAGTTGGGCAAGAATTCCCAAGGAAAGGCTCAAGTTTCTCTCTCCCTCCTCCTCCTTCTTGAAGCTTTCTCAACAAGCTTCATACCCAAAACTCAAACCCACTTGGAAGGCGAACAATAACTTACTCGAATAAGGAAAGCCAGAGCCTGGTTGCAGAGCTGTGGGCTGGGGTATGGAGGGAGCTCTTCAGATGCTGACACCTGGGGTAAGACCAGGAAACCATGAGCAGGGGCAGGTAGGAGCAGTGGGTTGGCTGGTGGGGGTGGACAGAGGGTAAGTGCTTGGCATGGGAGTATGTAACTAACTGTTCTCGGTTGGGCTTTGGCTTTGCCACCAACTGGCTACCTGACCTTGACCTGATTGGGGCTTCCCAGGTTGCACTAGTGGTAAAGAACTCATCTGCCAATGCAGGCAACACAAGAGACACAGGTTCTATCCCTGGGTTGGGAAGATTCCCTGGAGGAGGGCATGACAACCTACTCAAGTATTCTTGCCTGGAGACTGCCATGGAGAGGAGCCTGGCAGGCTGTAGTCCTTAGCGTTGCAAAGAGTCAGTCAGTTCCCCTCACTAAGCCTCAGCTTATCCATTTGTACCAGGAGGAGGTTGAGCAGTACAATAACAGTTGTTCAGGCTCTAAGTCATGTCCTAGTCTTCATGACCCCACAGACAGTAGCAAGCTAGGCTTTCCTGTCCCTCACTGTCTCCTGGATTTTGCTCAAACTCATGTCCATTGACTTCGTGTAGCAATAGTAACTAATTCATTAGTGAGGAAATAAAATCAGTGAAAACCTACTTAGTCCCGGTCTTGTTTAATGCTGTAAGGAGGTGGGGGGTGTGGGGGGGAAGGTATTGTGATGCCCCTGGACAGGGAAGTAGCTGAGGCTCAGAGACACTGGAGTCACTTGCCCCAGCTCACAGAGCTAACCCTGGCACAGCTGCGACGGGAGCCAGGCAATCTGATCCCAGAGCACTGTGGTTTTAAGCTGCTGTAGGGCGCCCCTGTAAGGCACCCCCACCTCCCTTTTCTGGCCATAGAGGGGACCACATTTGAAGACATTCGGACAGGCTCCCGGAAGCTAGCTGACGTTCCCAGGCCAGGGCTGTGGGGGCAAAGAAAAATCCCAAGGGGAGTCTGGCATTTGCCCTGTAAGGAAGGCTTCCTGGAGGAGGAGGAACTGGTTTTGACAGGGAATCAGAAGGACGTGGGAGGGAGAAGACTGATGATTTCTCGCTCTGGGTATTTCGGGAGGGCTGAAAGGAGGGAGGTGAGCCCCGGGACTGAGTCCCGGAAGCCGGGCGACAGAGGGGGATTGTCGCCTCCGCATTCTCGCCCCCAGGTCTCCGCGCCAAAGCTCCTGCTCTGGTCTGCGGCGGGCGGGGTCCGGCTCCCCTAACCCCTCCCCCGGGCGCCCATTGGCCTGCACCCCACCCCCCAGCCTGCGAAGCACGGGGGCAGGCGGTGGTCGGTAGCCTCCCTCCTGCCCCCGGCCTGGCTTCGCAGTGGAGGCGGCGCCTCTCCGGCAGGGCAGACGAGGCTGGGCGGACGAGCGGCGCGGAGCGGGCTAGGGCAGGCCGGGGGCCCCGCGCTCGGGCCCCGGGCGGCGACTGACAGCGGCGGCGGCGGCTCCAGACGAACAGGTCCCCGCGTGCGCACAAGCTCACGCCGCGGCGCAGGGACCCACGGACCCCGGCGCCCGGCGGACACACAGACGCGGAGATCCGGCTCTACGCGCGCTACTCAGCGCACGAGCGCCCCATCCCTGGGCGGAGCGGGGCGCGGACTCGCTGCTGCGCGCCCTCCCCGCGGAGCCTGCCCAGACCCGCAGCCCGCGGCCCCGCCGCGAGGCCCCTGGGTGAGCAGGTAAGCGCCGCCCCGCCGCCCTTGCCCCCCTGCGCCCCGTCCGCCCTCCCCTGACTCCAGAACCTTCGCCCATCCGGGGACGCGGGACCCCCTCCTCCAGCTCAGCTGTCTCCGCCAGCCGCGTCCTTCACCGACGGAGAGCGGGCCAGGGCCAGAGCGGGGCCAACCTCCCGAAACCGAAATGAAGCCCTCTCCCGCCGCTGCTTCCTTCCTGCGCGACGCTCTGCCACCCTCCGTCCCGAGCCACCCCCCCTCCACCCAGTTTCTGGTATCGCGCTCCGGAGAGACCGATCCCTGCAGCCCGCAGGGGGTGGGATCGGCTAGCTCCCGGGCGCTCCTCCTCGTGCCAGAAGGGAGGACCCGGGGCAGGAAGGCACTGCGACCGGAGGGACCCAGAGGGACCTGTCTACCTACTCCTGAGGCAGACGGACGCGGCTACGCGGATCCGATCTGGAAGGCAACGCTGGAGGGTTTCCTGGGGGCTGGGTACCGCAGTCTTCATGGAATTTGAGGGGTGGGCTCGGGACATGCTGTGTAGAGGGTGAAGTAAGGGCCAGCGTATATAACGTTCCCGAGTAGTGACACCTTCGCAATGGGTCAAAAGAGCGTTGTCTCTGGGTTTCCCGCGGTGCAGAGGCAGGGGTCGGGATGCCTGGGTTTCTGCGGTTCCGCGAGGAAACGGCCCCCGGGNCTATATGAGCCTTGGAGGGGTAGGGGGGAGTGGGGAGGGGCAGCACTCAGATTATCTCAGAAGGCCAGTTTGAGTTGGTGTTGGGTGCAGGTGGGGTTGGCAGAACCCCTAGTCCCTACCCAGGTGAATCTGGGGCTCCTACTCCCTTCTGACCTTGGGAGGACAAGCAGAGGTGCCAGTCTGGACGCCAGTCAAAATTTGAGTTTATAAATTAGAAATAGAACACACTGGGGCAGGCCCTGGCCGGATATTCCAAACAGTTCATCAACAAGTGTGTGTGGGGTGACCAGGGAGGCAGACCCGCTGCCTTCCTGCCCTTGCCGTGGGTCATTCATCCATGATTCTGTGCCTGGGACAGGATGTATGACTCTGCTCCTGTTTGCGATGAGAGGGAATGTCTATGGGGAGATTCCTGAAGGACCCTTGCCTACGTTCTGGGAACTAATCAGGCTGAAAGATCCATTAAGTGCTGTTTTCTGTCATGTTCAGGTGGGCAGGGAGTTGATTGGAGAAACACTGGAATCCGCCCCTTTTATGCGGCCACCCCTCTCTGCCATGCCCCTACTTTGGGACAGTCCCTCGATTCATGTTGAATAATCCAAATAAAACAAAATGGGGGTTTACAGATCAACATATACACCTAGAAGGCTAGGGAAGACAGACTTCAGGCCACAGAGTGGCTTTCTTCCTGGGGATGTGGCCTCAGGTTATGTGACCCAGGTATCTGGTCTCACAGATTTCCCTGACCAGGGCTGGCACTAGGTGGAGGACGTGTGCTGTCTGCTGGAGGGCAGAACCAAGGAGTGCCAGTCACAGAGCATAAGCTCAGCTCGGTGCCAGAGAGGCCTCACTTCCCCGAGAGCCAGCACTTGGGGGTGACAGTGGGTTTCCTGTCTGGGGAGGAGTGTGAGCAGAGATCCCATGCCCCAGAGAGGTAGGCCTAGAGCCCCTGGAAGCCTTGATTACCCCTGAATGGAGGAATCTATGAGTCTGGGGTCTGAATGGGCTGGGACTAGTGGTCTGGCTGCCTGGCAAGATGCAGTCTGGAAACTCATCAGCTGCAGCATGCTTGTACTGAGCCCTGGATGCCGTCAGAGGCACGTGGTGGCAGCCACCCCCACAGTGACACACAGGGAGGCAGTGACACACTGCTGGGGTGGCGTCAAGGCTTCCTGTGACACCTGCCAGAAAGCCAGGGCAAACATGCAGCAGCAGAGAGCAACATACGTAGGGACATGGGGACACACACACGGGCATGGAGACACACCCTCTCACACAAATCTGGACATGCCTGGGGACGGAGGTGTCTGCTCCACGAAGATCACAGTCTTCCTTGATGAGTGTCCACGTGCACGGCGTTGACACTGAATGGAGAAAGTGTGTGTGTTGCGTGAGGCTGGAGCGAGGGTTGGCAGGCTTTTTCTGCAAAGGGCCAGATAGTAAATTATTTTAGGCTTTTGCTGGCTGTTCACGCCGTTGCAACTGCTTCATTCTGCTGTCATAACGTAAAAGCAGCCGTAGATGCTACTTATGCAAATGAGCGGAGCTGTGCTCTGATGAGCTTTATTTATGGCCACAAATTTGATTTTCACACAGTTTTCCTGTGTCATGAAATATGAGCCTTTTGATTTTTTTTCCTGACCATTTGAAAATGTAAAAACCATTTTGGGCTCCCTGACTGTATAAAAATAGGTGACAGGCTGGATCCAACCTGCTGGAAGTGTTGGGCTATAGGTTAGCAAAGAGAATTTGGTTTAAGAGGTGGAAGGAGGGAGCAGCTTTAGTCCTGGGAGCCCACAGTGCTCTAGGGGGCCCTGGATGCCTGTCTTCATCCTGCCTGGAGCTCAGGGTACCCATCTATTTAACGCCTGACCTCAGCATCCTATCCTAGAAAAGCTTCTGCTGGATTCATGTTATACATCTCCCACGCTAAGGACACCTGGAGACAGTGTTCATGCCTGAAAATGAAAGGGTACCATGTCACTGGACTCACCAAACAGGTCCTGAGCCCCTCTCCCATTCACCCTGTTGGCCAAGGACATGCCCGCCTCCACCAGAAGGAAAACCCATAGGGAGATCTGGACATGCCCCTTGTTTTCAGACAAGACTTAAAACTCACAAAGACAAGGATGAGACCTGAAACAGCCCAGGCAGGGGTGAGGGGTTTCCTCATCTAGGGCTGCTAGTTGTCAGAGGAGAGTGAGGCCAGTGGAGGTGGGTGCAGCCAGGCTGGGCTTCCTGGAGGTGGTGATAGGAGGTTGTATTGGCCTTGTGGAATACCTGGACTCTCTCATCCCAGCTCCATGCATTGCCTTAGCTGTCACCGTTCTCCCATGACAAATGGGCACCACAGAGGGCTGGCTGGGGAATAAAACATAAGAGTTACTTTGCAGATACCTGTGAATGTTCCACTTCTGATTTAAGGCTGTGTGGTAGACTGGGTCCTGTTCAGTTTCTTCTTATCCCTCCTGTCCCCTTCTGACATTTCTTTCCTGCTACTTCCCCAGAGGAGGGGCCTGGGAGATCTTTCCCCACTTTCTCAAGTCTCTGGATTCTGTCCTCCACTTCCCATTCCAGCTGCCCTTCCCTGCCCAGACCCCCATCTCCTCTACCTGGATTCCAGGTTTTCTGCTTGTGTTTTCTCCTTCCACTCAGCTCACCAGCCTTCTGAGGAATCCTCCCTAAATGAGAAGCTTAGCACCTCAGTTCCCTGCGTGAAACTCTTCAGTGCCCCAGCCCTCTCTCCTGTAACTAGGCTGCTGCGTCCCTGGCATCCCAGACTGGCACCGACCTTCCACCGTCTCACCACTCCCCACCTTGCTGGGTCCCTCAACNTGCAGTGCAGAAAACCCAGGTTCAATCCCTGAGTTGGGAAGATCCCCTGGAGAAGGAAATGGCAACCCACTCCAGTATTCTTGCCTAGTAAATCCCATGGACAGAAGAGCCTGGCAGGCTACAATCCATGGGATTGCAAAGAGTTGGATATGACTGAGTGATGAACACACACACACACACACACACACACACACGCTACCAGTGCCCATGCGTGCCCAGCCTTTCCTGAGCCCAGGTTCCCTATGTGTAAGAATAGTAGGAGACCCTTTCAGGGACACGAATTCTGTCTCCTGCTGTGCATAGGCCTCCGGGAACCAGACTTTGAAAGGGGAACATCTGAACATCAAAGAAGAACATTCGCATTAATGATTAATCTGTCCATTGCCAGAACACCCCTCACTGCAGCATTTGGCACTGACCTTTATCAGCTCTGACCTTATTGGTGAGAAAAGAGGTTCTTCTTTCCCAGAAACAAGTTAAGTTCCCTCCATTTGAGGGGTGAGCTGAAGGGGCAGTGTTTCATCTTCCAGCCTTCCCTCATTGGTCCCCTGTACTAGGAGGGAGAGGAGGAAGTGGGGGGTGGGTGCTGCTCAGGTTTCATGAGTAAACGGAGCTTCTGTAGAGAAAGGGAGGTGAATGGTCCACTTTCTCTGGGTCGTTTTTGATCTGGTGTCCAGGCTTGGCACTGCCTTGTGATGGGGACGGATGCTGAACGGCCAGAGGAGATGCCAGTAGGAGATGCCCCAACTCCATGAGGACAGAAGAGGGACCCAGGGCTCTGCAGCTCCACGGAGAGGAAGAGTGAGATGCTGCCCTCCTCCAGTGGGCGCTCCCAGGAGGCAGAAGAACCTGTGCTGCTCAGGGCTGGCCTGGAAGGATATGGTGGAAAGACATCAAAGCTTCCCCTGAGGGCCCTAAAGAGGGCTGAGCTCCCCAGCCCAGGGACTGGACCGTCTCAGCAGGGAGGGCTACAGAGAGGGTCCTGCAGGGTTGGCCAGCGTGGGAGATGCTGCAGGGTCTTCACGTCCCCTCCCACTCCATGCGGAGCCCAGTGAGTCACCGCTGGCTCCGGTGTGCTGACTGGTGATGCCGTCTTCCTGTGCTGCCTGGCGCAGTGGCTGCTGGAGGACACCTGTTCCTGCCCCAGGCCCGTCACTGGGCTTGTGGGTCCTGAGGAGGGCAGGCCCTCCCAAGTCTGGAAGGGGGAGCCGACTCCCCTGTAGTCTGCATATTCGTCACTCATTTATTCTTGCCAGGCAAGGCTCTGGGACTCTCTTTTGAGTGACCTTGGGAAGTGTCTCCCCCACTCTGGACTCAGTTTCCCCACAGGAGGCTCAGTACCATGGGGAGGTGGCCTTCAGAGTCCATTTCAGGTCTGAAATGCTATGTCTGTCATGAACTCTTCCCAAGGAGGGTGCTTCAGACATAGAAATGTGGGTAGAGGGGTAGCAGACAGCCTCACTAGTGCCAGGGGCTGTGAGAGGGATTGCCATTAGGATACCCATGGATTCTGAGCTGGTCTTCCTTTTAGCAATAACAGAGAGTGGTGGGAGCATAGGGATGGAGTGCATAAGCTTTGAAGCCAGGCTGTTTGGGTTCACTCCCCAGCTCTACCACATGCTTG